ACCACTATGGTTTGTGCATTGCTGTAAATACAATGAAGTACAATTCGTGTATCCGCCTCCTCGTGGTTGCCTTCCAACAAATCCATATTCATGCAGGGATCAGTACTTTGCACCTCGGTCTCGGAAATAAAGCCTCCACCCACAACGATGGTCTTCTCACTTGGAGCTGCAGCTATAAGCGCATTAAACAGAAACAAACAGAGGTCCCTTTTATTGTCGGTGGATGCTAGAAAGGCTGTCCATTTGCTTGGAAGGGGTACATCTTGGTCTTCAATCAGTCGTCGAATTGGCTTGGTCTTTCTTGCACGCCTTTCTCTTGTGCTAGCTTTGATTGAGAGGTCCCTGTATCGATCGAAGGTCACATCGATTCTATCATACGCTTTACCCTGCTTGAGAATGTGTTTGACAAACATGTCTGCGTATTCTCCGAAGGTACTCACATCGCTTGGCTTTCCAAAAGACATGATTGTGGCTTGTCCATCTATTATAAGACATGCAGACCGACTGATGGTGATTTCTGGAGGGGAGGTCACATCTTTAGCCAACACATCAAACAGAATGGATTTGGTACCCATTCGTAGTGTGCCAGATGTATCAGCAATGCTCACCGGTACTTTCATCAACTCATGGTTTAAGATATTGCTTAGGTCAACTGGTCTGCCAGCCCTATATGCCGTGATAAGTCTCTGTGAGAAGTTTCTGTCAGCTTTCAACGTTTCCATCTTCCCTTTCAAACTATCTTTCACCATGCGCACTTCATACAAAGATGCGAAATTAGGAGCTCGTGCTTTTGGCAATGTATCCCTGAAATTAATCTTTCCATCGACTAACCTCTCCTTCACGAACGTCTCCAGCTGTGTCTGTTCCAGTTGTGTTGCATTCAGCAGTGAGTTCTCTATTTTAGCCGTAGCCACGTCTTTGGTGGTTATATTCAGGAGGTTATCTGTCCTATCTGTTGGTTCTTCTACCATTACCTTGAATCTCTTCAATACCTTGAACATGCTCGCTTCATCTTTGTTGTCACGTGCCATTCGAAACGGGGTTGCTTCCATTAGTGTCCATTCAGTGTCCAAATATTCTATCATACGCTTTACCCTGCTTGAGAATGTGTTTGACAAACATGTCTGCGTATTCTCCGAAGGTACTCACATCGCTTGGCTTTCCAAAAGACATGATTGTGGCTTGTCCATCTATTATAAGCCATGCAGACCGACTGATGGTGATTTCTGGAGGGGAGGTCACATCTTTAGCCAACACATCAAACAGAATGGATTTGGTACCCGTCCGTAGTGTGCCAGATGTATCAGCAATGCTCACCGGTACTTTCATCAACTCATGGTTTAAGATATTGCTTAGGTCAACTGGTCTGCCAGCCTTATATGCCGTGATAAGTCTCTGTGAGAAGTTTCTGTCAGCTTTCAACGTTTTCATCTTCCCTTTCAAACTATCTTTCACTATGCGCACTTCATACAAAGATGCGAAATTAGGAGCTCGTGCTTTTGGCAATGTATCCCTGAAATTTACCTTTCCATCGACTAACCTCTCCTTCACGAATGTCTCTAGCTGTGTCTGTTCCAGTTGTGTTGCATTCAGCAGTGAGTTCTCTATTTTAGTCGTAGCCACGTCTTTGGTGGTAATATTCAGGAGGTTATCTGTCCTATCTGTTGGTTCTTCTACCATTACCTTGAATCTCTTCAATACCTTGAACATGCTCGCTTCATCTTTGTTGTCACGTGCCATTCGAAACGGGGTTGCTTCCATTAGTGTCCATTCAGTGTCCAAAATAACGTTCATCATTTTGTACGTTTGGTCCGACACATTTGATCTTTGATTGAAGGATAATGTCCATCTTGCAAGGGCCGTGTTGGTCTTGGTGATTCCGACAATTCCACCACTTTTCTTCCCAATGCCATTCAGCCACTCTAAGCTGTGATCCGGGGACACCTGATTGAATCTTTGATTTGATCCCTTCACAACGAAGTTGCCTTGTTTGAACTCATCCTCTACTTCCCGCGGTAGGTGTTTCATCTCGGATAGGTACACACATCCCCACCTCGCGTAATTAGTGTGATCGTATCTGTGGAAGAACGGCAGCATTTCACGAAAAGCAGAAAGGTGCAACTCCCATATCCCTGCACGCTGTGCTCTGATAAAAGATAGTAGGATAGCCACCATGCTCATATTCACATATGCTGTCGAAACTCGAAGGAATCTGCAATCGCCAGAAGAGAATCGAGGTCCTCAGTCTCAATAGCTTTTACCAAAGCCCGGCATATTTCCGGTTCTTTGTCCTCAAGATACTTTCAAAACTGTGGAATTACTAGTTGCCAAAGAACTTGCCAGGTTAGCTTGTATGCCCTCACAACCTTAGCAAACGATTTGCCATTCTTCACTTTCTCAGCAATGTTTGCACCCAGTAGTCCACTTTCAACCCATAGTTCCACTAATCCAATATCTTCCGTATGCTGTCCAAGAACTTTCAAAAAGTTCATCGAGATGTGCAGGCCTCCAAGTCTGGGTATTAATGTTTCTTTGAACATTGGGACTGCCCACTTCAACTCCATCAACTGTGGAAATAAACCCTGGTCAACTGTTATCACAGCATAGTTGTTCCCTAAGGCCCGGGCAACGTGAAGTGCCCTCAGCACAAGGGTGTTCAGCGTTGACAGCTCATGAGCTGGAGCAAGTATTATCGGCATATAACCGACAGTAGTTCTTGGAGGGTCTAGACTCGTGCAGTGAGATTGGTTGAAACTTGTCCACGAAGGCCTTTGCTCAACTTCCTGTCGAGACAGCAGAAATGCCATGTCACGTGCGGAACTTGTTTTGAGGGTACTTGTACTGTCTTCTGTTTGTTGGAACCAATTCATTTTCACGTTACCAAAGTCTGGACAGGTGCATCCTCTGGTGGCATTCGCATCGTGGATTTCTTCTAGTGCTGCTGGTACCTTCAGAGTTGTGCTCTTTGATGGTTCAATACTTGCAAGTGCACTTTTACCAGGTCCCCTTTGCCACGCAGCAAGCTGGGTTGCATAGAATGTGTTTTTCCCATCTAGGGTTGCATCATTTATGTCAATATTGTCCCCAGAAAAATGGACAAACCTATTTGCAACCAAATTTGTTGGAACTACAGCCCCAGTGCGTGGATCAATGTGTTTCAACGTAGACTCTGCCATCGCCGTGTCATACTGAAGAACCCTGCTGTAATTGACAATGTGAGCTGCATTGTGAAACAGGTTGACAGGTTTCTGTAGATCGTGTATCCTGATCGTGTAGCCTGATGCAAAGTAAGACCGCGTCGTACAGATCGTGTAAAGCGTCGAACAGATCGTGTAGCCTGATGCAAAGTAAGACCTAGCCCAACATGTTTGGGTGGAGCTTTCTTGTCTCCACAAATGCCATAAACCATGTCTTGCACAATGCTACAGACTCGTGCGTTCTTGATTTCATTGATTTCGTTATTATCATTGTTAGACTCCTCATCTATATGATTCTGGCAACCAAGTAAGACATTAACAAACATGTTTACAGATAGGGGATGCTAGCCACTACATCCCTTTCATTCCCATCTGCACCTTTGAAGGCAGGGTGTGACATTATATCACTTCGAAGTTTTAGTGCCACCTGAACTATAGACAGAAACTCGCCATTATCTGGTTTAAAAATAGGAATGTTCTCAAGTCCAGGCTCATCACTAACTGTTTCTGCCATGTCTGACAAAGAGACATGGCGGAATGAGATTGGAACTAAGAGGGTTTGTCTCGCAGATGATGCTGCGTTGCGTAAAACTACAAAGTCATAACTGTCACCAATAAACTTCAACAAAGCGTCTTTGAAAGTTGCCGTTCTGCTTTTAAACGATGACGATATCATGACGTCCGTCTCGCTGGCAAGCTCCCTGTATCTTTCAAGCACCGAAGAAAGCTCAAGAACATAGCCTTTTTCAGCACACTGTCGCAGTTCTTGACACAGCCACACCATTGCCAAGTCCATTGATTTACCTTCAACCTCTGCCCTCTTGGCATCTCTGAGAAATTTCTTAAGGCAGTTTGGATGATAGCATCCTTCTGCTGCAATCAGGTCATTTACACCTGCAATACGGATAAATAGCTCATGCACATATTTGGCCTTCGTACTAATGCAGGAACTCATATTCAGAGTACATACGCTACTGGTCCTCGTATTGCTGTTGGGATTCTGACAAAACATGCACAACTTCCATTGCATTCTATTAGAACCACTGCGAAGTGATGGACGTCCTGCAGTTCCTGGTCTGGCTCCATCATCAGACCTACTCTCCACTTTATGCTGTGCAAGAAACTGTTCACGTTCAAGTTTAGCATTAATATTGTTTCTATGCGTGTACTTCGAATAACACTGTCTGTGCCATTTAAGGTCGGGGACAGGTTCTACTGATTCTGCAAACAGTAATGTTAGCCTGTCAACGACAGTCCGGCATTCATCATTCCGTAGTTTCCTCCTCTTCTCCGTTGCTTCCCGGATGGATGCGATCCCCCGTTCAGTTTGGTAGGAAAGTGTCCTCTCATCAGTCGGACATGTCTACTGACATATGATACACAGTTCAAAAAAAACCTCTACCGGTCGTTTCAAGCGTAGAACTGGTTCCATAGTTCACCTGGGGAAAGAAAGGGCAAAAAGCTGGTTTATTCTAGGAACGTTGTTTAGATTAGATGTACTATATAATGTCTTTATAATGAACTACTTTTTATCACTTGGACAGATAGGCTACTCATATTGAACAACATGTTTGAATAGTTTTAAAAGAGAGTAAAATAAACCTACCTTTCAATAATACATGGTATGTGAAAACAATGGTCTGCAGCACACGGTGCGCCAATCATAGCATGCTTGGCAAAAATACTAGGCCCTAGTACTATAGTACTATATACTAGTTGGCCTATGTAACACGCTCCATGTAAGCGTTCCAGTGTCGTGTTTCTGTTCCCACCTGCGGTACCTACAGTATTCCAATCAGTTAGAACCATAGAAATAGATAGATAACCTAGAATGCTGATTCGCCCATCTCCCTGTACTTAACAAATAGAGTACCGAAGTGTGACGTCACGTTGGCAAGACAACGCACGGGCTGGTTCTACACAAGCCACTGGCTCCATAAGGTTTACTGCGTGAAAATGTTGTGCGTACGTAAAACACGAGTGTGTGCGCTGCAGACAGCGGTAAAGCATCGGTAGCAAGTCGATCTTACAATATTTAATGAATTTAAAAAAAATTTAATTAAAAAAAAAAAATTTTTTTT